GATAACTATGAAAACGATTACATAATGTGTGAAATACCCTTATCTCTCGCCTGGCCTTAAGTAATAAATGAATTTATTTATTCTTTTTCAAACTTTCTCTTCGTTTATTATTTTTCTTCACCCCCTCCTACCACTTTATTTTCTCTCAACTGTACGTTTCATGGTCCAATTATCTGAACATTCCTTATTACGTCATCTCATAATTTTATAAATGTTATCTCAGTTTCTATATTTTTCTAATCATTGACCTATTTCAGATTATGTAACATTGATTTGAACCTTTATTATTATTGCTTATCAAAACTAATGCACCTCTTGTCACACCATCAATTTGCACTTTTCACCTTTTACTTATTATGTAATCTTTTCCATTGTTATCATTGACTTATAAACTACCTTGATTGGTTTAATAATTTCGTATAAGTATATATAAATATTACTGTATATTAGAGTAAAGCCTGATGAGGATCTAATCGAAAACAATATTGTTCGCTTATATATGTTGTTCTAAATTTACAATATAGGAATATTTCAAATTATAGAGTGACATTGTATCTCTTCGAATCGTATACAAAAAATAGATCAACACTTTTGCTAAATCTTAATCCTGTTATAAACCTTAAGTTGGTGACACTACATTCTATAGATGGACAATTAATCAGATAGGTCCCAATATATTTTGGAGCGGATTTCATCTATATATATGGCTTCAGAGCATGTATACATACTAACTTTAAATACCTAACCTGTAACTGGGATGAATGGGATACTCTTAAAAATCCGTTTGGGTTCTTTTAAGGATTCGAGAAGATGGGTAATCTATGTCCAGAACGATAAGTTTATCTGTTTCTGTTTTTTTTTAATTTACGGACAGAATGATCTATAGATAATATTAACTGATTTATTATTTATGTAAAATCTCCTTACACTTCGCAATCTTATTGTTTTCTTTGCCAGAAAATATTCACTTGTGAAAACTGTCTTCTGATTAACTAGAAACTAGCTGGAAACTTGTCATTTCTGTTTTAAGCTCGACCTTATACCATATTGTCGCCATTCAATGATTTGATAAAATGAAATAGATTCGGGCTATTTAATAACTGAATTAAAGTTAGTTTTAATAACCCAAGTTTTTGCCGTCTGACGTTTTTTTACTTTCATCAGTAAACTAGCTGTAAAAACACAAAAGTTTTTCACTGATTCATTAAAAAATCATCCATCATGAAGGATAGACATTGGTACTAAATAGGTAGTTCCTGGTAGATTGCTATGTCTCAGTGGTGGATATCTATAGTATCAGACTAAAGGGAATGTCCAATCTTCCATCTAGTATTAATTATTACCGCCTTCACATTCAACGAATGAATTCTTACGACCTAATAATCAAAATAGATAGTAATTCGTGGGTAGTATCAGTCACAGATTGATTGTTAAAATTCAGACAAGTCGAGAATTTAGACTGATCTTTGATGAATGTAACCTATGAAAACAAATCTACATAAAAATCCTTTGATTAATAATTTTAAATCAAAAGATGGGGTGCATTCGTCAGTAAAGCACTCAAATCTTCATAATATACGTCTGTTTCCGTTTAAGATGGTATACACGTCATTCTGACTCTATAAAATGTTACATTTAAATCGCTTCTAGAGTATACTAGTAAACATCAGTATGCATGCTTTATATCACACAAGGTTGAGTCAAGGACTCATAGATCTTTAAACAAAGAAAAATATATTGAGATCATGATGTCAATAATCACTGTTCCACAATCACAAATTTAGTTTTTGCTGAATAGTACTTGATGATACTTTAATACGATCAGTGCTCTTTGTCTTACTACCGAGATAATTATTCTCCGCCGATCATGATATCTCGTTTAAAATCTTTGAAATCCGTAGTTAAGACACTAACAAGGCGAGGAAACTACCAATTCAACTTCCTGAAAATCTGTCATTTTGCTTTACTGAGTACTTACAAAGCTATGATAAAACAACTACAATATATCATATTTCATCGACTTGTTGAACTTTCATCGACTCAGGTGGTTGAGATAGATGTCATATCTCCTTAACAACTGCCTACCACGGTAGGAAACGTTAATTTGTATAGGAGTAAGTTGCAAGACAGCTTGAGGAGGCTAAATCAATGCAGGGTATAAGTTTACACAGTCATTGAATGTTGGTCTGAGCTGCATAGGTATATCTAGGTTACCCGGTTGAGGTCCATATGAAGTCCTCAATCAGTCGTTGGAGATGACATATGACATGGGTTAAAAATCAGTCACAGCTGTGCAAACAGATTCACGCTTTAACTCCGAATCTTCAGTTTCAGTTTCCCTTCATCTAGAACTATATTCTCAGAGCATAGTTTTTCTCATTATCATTACTACAACCTTACTTTATATATATATATATATATATTACTTTGATTCGTTTACTATTTATACTACGAAATTAATCTTGTTGTCATCTAGTTGGGACAACGCATACTTGTTCCAAGCTCTAAACTGATCAGAGCAGATTTTATCCTTAACTTTATCTTTCATTATCATGGTGAATTAAATAAAAATATGTTTTCAAAATTAATATCAAATAGTTTTTTTCTTTAGTTACATTATATAATCAATCTCTCTCTCCCTCGTACTCTCATTCTCTAAGAAAAAAACAACAACAAATGATCAAATAGTCAAACAATGAAAACATGAATACATAATCTACACTATTTTTTCTCTTTCTATTAACATGGGTAACTTGTTGTCATTGTTGCTTGATTGTCATTTTTTATGTATCTATACCAACTATAAAAATCAAACGATAATCAAATACTTTGATATTCTTCTTGATCTTGCTTCAATGAATATGGTTTCTCTTTCTGACTCGTTTTCTTTTTCGTTTATTTTAGAATTTATTCCACTGTTTGATTCTCATAGATATATGATTTCTCCTTTGTAAGACAAAACAAACCACGATATCTATGAATGTAAACAAGTATGTGTGCATATGTGTGTATGTGTGCGTGGGTGTGATTTTATTGTTACCATTGCTTCTATCTTCCATGGTTCTCATCAGTGACTGATTGGATGGATTGTTAATAAATAATTATTCAACTATTATTATTTTTTATTAAAAGAATTTGAGTTCTTTTACTTTTAACAAAATAAAGTCAAAGAGATAACGGAAATTTCATTCTATTTCATTGTCGTCATTGTGGTTGTTGAACAAACTTTGTTCAATCATGCATAAATCAGAAAGTATCGAAGCTATCTGTATGTGTGTACATAAATGTATGCGTGCGTGTGTATGTGAGTACACAATTTGAAAAACACTGTACACGAGATGGGAAAGCGTAAAGAAAAAAAAACAAAGCTTGGAAATATTGTTTTACGAAAAAAGTACAAATAGGGAGCAAAAAGCCTTGAGTTTCTTTATTTACAAGATTAAAATGAGAACAATTTTCATTCTTCCTTAAAATTGTAGTCAACTATCTAAACAAAAACGTTACTTGAGAATCGATGCATTTATGGTGTAATGTATAGACGTATTTTTACCGTACTATACAACACAGGCTTACATAATTCCCATTTAGGCATTCAAAACATAAAATTCAATGAAAGTATCTGTTCTCATTAAATTTGTTATCAAACTGTACAACAGTGTATCTAGATGAAATATCAAGTGCTAATTCCTTCAGATATGATGATTCAACATATACATACTCACGACTGTAAAGTTTCATAATAAACTCGTCCATACTGTTTAAAATTCGTACCACATGTACTATTTCATTCATTAACTGTTGTTAAATATTTTACGGTTACTAAATTACCATGAATTAATTATCGACCTATGGCTTAATTTTACATCACTTACAACCACGTTGTCATATATACTCAAATTGTGATTCTATATTTGTGATGTGTTGTAGTCAGATAATTTATATGTGTAGTACTGTGAGTTTTTGATTGATGACGATATTACAATAATAGAAAATAAATATGCTTATTGCTTTCTAATTTTTTGATTGACAACTGGGAATAAAAGAAGCTTCTTGAACCGATAGGAGTTTGTGACTTCAGTTATTGTTCAAAATCATTTGTATTATTGATTATATAGAAATTCATTGACGTCTTTTGGAACAAAGTAAACTATTCATCAGCAAACATGATAATCGAATGATTCCATTTTTAAGAAGTAATATTAAGAGCGGAATTTATGACAGAGAAATGATGCGATAAATAATTTATAAATTGGGACTTAACACTTCTTGAGTTCTTGAATATCTGGTATGAAGCCCTGGTGTGGTGAATTAAACTACTTCAAATTTGAAATGGATATTCATCAAAGGCATTGTGAAATTGTTTTTCCAAGTCAAGAATTGATTAGTTTCTGACATATTAATCTATGTACAATGCATTATCTTAAAGATCTTAAGTTTTTGATTTTGACCTATAATGTATATATTGATGAAAACAGTACTAAGAAGTCATATACTATAAAGGAATAGCTATTCGAAAATATTATGAGACAGATTTCGAGTATTACTGATCAGTTAATAGTAGTATAAAATGTTATGAATAGGAATGATATAATGAAAATAAATGAAGAGAATATGAATACAACAATAAAACGGAAGCAAGAAAAGAATATGGGAGGAATAAAAAGAGACTGATAGTTAGCAATATTAGAAATTAGTTATACAACATCAACACTGGAATTCAGATACACTCAATTGTGACATAATCAAAACAGGCCGGAACGTACATACTTAGTTCTACTTAGAACGATTAGCTAAATATACCAAGTGGTGATTATTTATTTTTTTTGCCCTTACAAAACTACCATATTACAGTTATCCTATCCCAAATCAAGATGGTAGATAGAATGATGGTCTTTTTATCATTGATTAGTTTTGGAAATATTAACATACATTACAAGTCACTTAATATATTCTTATACAACTACTTTAAAACTGTGTTATTTTTTTGGATTTATTAACAGGTTAAAATATGGTTTCAAAATAGGCGTTCAAATTTAAAAAATTGATCAATCAAGGTCATGATGTATCCCTTTTAACAAATTCATTATCTTGTAAATCAGAAACAAGTGAATTAAATAATCAAATAGAGGTAAGAATTATGAATAATTGTGTGGGAGGGTTTTAGATCAATAAATGAACTTTTTATACAACTGAATAAATAAAATTGATTTTGTATTGTTTATTATGATTTTCTTATTAATGCCTAGGACTGAAATTGAATCAGTCTCTTCGAAAACATATCCATCCTGTGCAGGTTGCTTCGATATGTCATTAATTAGTAAGCGCTACAATCAAATTTCGAATGGTAGCTATAATTGGAATCTAAAATGCATGTTTTGTTCTTTTCTGAATTCATCAGCTGAATATACCAGCCAGTGGTTATCTGTACTCAATAGCTAATTGGAGTGAAGGTATTGAGTTCAAATCTGAGAGTGAATATTAGCTCTGTGATCCAGGTACCCTCAGATGACATTTCGGAAGTAGAACGGAACGCCAGTCTTGGATTCCATTGTTAGCCACCATCCAACTTGGGACAAGTGAAATTAAGTAATTTGATTAAATAGCCATCACCAGCATATACATTCTTGCAAACTAGTTTAAATATTCGAACGACTAAACACTTTGCACGTGAACAATTTTATTCTATAAATTTTGGAGTGTTACTATAGATAAATTATTATGTGACAATAATACTATTAACTTTCATTGAATAGTAATAATATCTTCGAACTATGTAAAAGTGATTTTTATCAGCATTAAAGTTTTGTAATGATTTTACTTAGAGCACCTTAGTAAACCTAAGTGCACTGGACAGCCATTTCGTCCTAATATGGGACTCCTTTGTAGTGCGCACCCATGACCTTGTGCGAAATCTTGAATTGATTGAAGTTAGACATTAAAACCATTGAATGCCAGATCAGTAGTCTACAGGTCAAGTGTTTTCTCATGGGATTTAAGGTATTAAGTTCGATTCTCTGTGGATCTCGATTGGTGAGTCATTTTCTGGACGAAATGGTTCTCCAGTTCTCTCAGGTTTATTAATGTTTGTCTTAGACGAGTTCGTGATTTAAAATTGTCATAAAAAATGATCCTTATTTCTATCAAAATAACTTAGTTTGCACATTCATCTGTGGTACATAAGTATGTATGACAACTTGAGAGATGAAACTAAAAAAATTAAGGTCTTATAATAATTAAATTTGCAATTTTCAACATGTCAGTTCATTCAATCAGCCTAACGATTAATTGTGAGTGTTAAGATTTGATGGTCACTTATGAAATCACAGGAATTTCTTTTGGAAATATTTTGAAGAAAACTACATTTAGTTCAGATGAATTATTCTCTAGGTACAGATTATTATATCCTGTTTCAGGTTGCCTTATTCATGGGGCTTATTGATACTACCCAGTTCCCCAAATGGAGTGAGTGGAGAGGGGTTCGAACCGGAGACTTAACTGGATACCTTAACTACTAAACCTCCAATTCAAGGAGTAAAAATATTCTGACCCACAAGAGCTGCTAAATTAATAACATCAAAACATAGTGCACGCGATATCCAGTTTTTTAGACTAGTAACCATGTCAGATGAAGCCGGTGTGCGATTTAAAGTGAAACGATTTCTGTGTAGGATTAAGCTGAACAAATCAATTCTCAGCCAACTTTAAACACTAAACAATGTAAAATTACTTTACCATCAGTGAGTGATTTTTGGATTTTATTTAGTTAAGCGTCATATCAACTGGTTAGTTAGTTAGTTACAACTAGAACAACTCTGTAAAGAAATAAAATAGCTTGGAACAAATAAAGCATTTGTAAACACAAAAGATGAATATCAGCTCATAAAAAATATCTTTGTTAAGACAGAGGTACATTACCGTGATATTGTTATTTAATTGACTGTAAGATTCACGACGCTTGTTTAATTATGATTGGGACTCTTCATCTGGATATAGTTTGTCGACAAGCCACTGGTTATCTGAACTCAATAACTCAAATTATAGTGTGTTAATACTTGAAATGATGATCGCTGAGGTTGGATTTCGGTGTGAAAACCAACACTAAGGTTCCTGTATATTCGTCTAACAAGTCCCAGTTCGGATGAAACGTGCGGAACAAACTCCACAGCTAGCTGTAATCCAACAAAACTTTCATGATGTTGAGTAACTGAGCTCAAAAATCTACAACCGCCATATACCAATTAACTCAAAATCTAGGATAGTCACTTACTCTTGCTGATTGTCGCCATTCATCTAACAATATTCAAACATAATATTTTAAAAATTCTCCCTTTTTTCCCCTCCGTTGCTTACTCTAATTTATTCTAGAATATTTATGAAGATTGTCATGATCTCTTAATGAAAACTATGCCATCTGAAACCGATATTCCCATCAATTCAGATGATATACCGATTGACTCTTCGTCTGGATTTGAAAATGGTCATTCGAATAGTAACTCAAATAGTCCAATCATTCAGTCAATAATTAGTTCACCTGAAACTAATCTCAATAAACATATTACTAATACTAATAACAATAATAATTATGTTAAATTGGATTTACAGCCTAATAATTTCGTAAAATATGAAATCACATCGTCAGGCAATTTAAGTTATCAAACATGGTCAACAGATATGAAAGATGATTACAGTATTTCTATTGATGGTCAAACAGTTCAAAATCAAGTAAAATTCAATGATTCAACACAATGTAATAATTATTTAAATCAAAATTTTTATTCCTCAACTAATACTGATCAAATAAATCTATTGGATGCATTACCGAGACCATATTATTGGACAAAATCATTGTTTGAATCATCATCGTCATCTAATTATTGGTTACCGATGTCAACAAGTAATCAATGTTCATATTTTAATCCAAAATCGTATTCAACTCCAAGATGCGACGATGATGATAACGATGAAGATGATGATGATGATGATGACAACAATGATGAAGATGATGATGAACATGAAAACAGTGAATTAGAACATGATACGAGTAATGACATTAATAATAATACACATGATACATGGACTTTTAATAGATCCAATGATTATAGCTATTTAAATTCAACAACAACTAAGGATAGATTAAAAAATTCTGAAATAATTTATCCCAAATCACCATCACAAACTTCCTCATATCACGAATGGAGAAAATACTGTTTAAATAACGACGCAAATCAATTGGTTTATAACTATGAACAAAGTAATTCACCAAAAACATCTCAAGATCCATTCAATTACAATTTCCATTCCTCTTGCTCACAAACATTACCTGCAATACCACCGATACCTTCAGCGTTAATATCATCAGCTGAAACACAACCATCATCATGGTCTCTTATAGAATCAATCTGTGTACAACAACAACACCAACAACAAAAAACTGGTGAAAATGAAAAAAACTCTGTCATTATTACAAATCATAATTTCACCAAAATATCCGATACTCATAAGAACACTATTATTCCATTAACAAGTGAATATCAATTTCAAAGACAACAAGAACCACAATTTCCTGATCCATGTGAACATACAGCATTAACATCAACAATAACATCTGTAATGGCTGATTCAACATCACCATCATCATCATTATCGTCATCATCATCGTCATTATCATTACATAACAACACATTGTACATTTAGATATCGAAAAAAAAGTTTCACTGATGAATGTCGACAAGTGACGAAATACCAGTCATATTGTTCATTCATTTCTATAAATAAAAATACATAAAAATAAGATGATTCTATACGTTTCACATAATAAGTCAAATACAATCATTAATATTGTTAGTCAATTATTATTTGAACTACCTCGAAAAATACTATTATTCTTATCAATACAAGTATACTGTTCAATTTTCAATTAACTCGAAGATTATTAATACAAAGTTAGTCAAAGTAAGAAAATACTACTGAATAATTTAATCTATAAATAGTGTATATTCTACTGTTAAATTGATGTAATTAGTAACGGTTAAAGGGAAATAATAATAAACGTATTAACCACATAAAGATAAGTGAGAAACATGTTCAATATAAATTAATGTTTAAATAGTATTCAGGATCAATACAAAATACACGTGATTTTGATACATAACTTACTATGAATATACAATCACAATTACATCATGATCATGATCACGATCACGATCATCATGATCATCATCTGTATCGGCTTATATACTGTTTGTTTCATTTGTACAAGGGATTTGAAAATTGTTGTTTACTTTACAAAATTATCACTTTTAAACAATATCACTTAATTTCTTTCTATATACATATATAATACAACAATCTTCATTTATCTATCCATTCTAGTAGTGTAAAAAGATTATGCATCTTTACACAAAATGGCTTATTTTCAAATGAGTCAATAGTGAGTAGTTCAGTAAGCTACAATATGTATGCAAGTTGTTTAGTTTGAAGGATATCCAAAGATAATTGAATAGCTATTTTCGGCACCACCATAATTTATGGACGAATCAATCATGTATAAGATAACAGGTCTCGGATTTTGGCACGAGATTCACTCATCCATTTGGATAAATAGAGTTTTGAAATTATAACTGATGTCAATTCGTGATGAAAACCCGAAATCTAATTCATAAGCTTAATCATCAACTGTAGATTATAATTATAATTCCTCACACAAGTTCATAACCTTCATTTGATCCTGGTTATTAAGTGGACAATCTCAAAGTCAGTCTAGAATCGCTCAAAGGTCGTCGATAGTGAGTATTCCTCATTTTAGTTCTCACAGATTATATAACGAGTCATCAAATCTTTGATAGAATGTTAAGATTGGTTTGAAGATGATATTGAGTCACTTAGACTGGTGAACAGATTTCATCTCGATCAATAGAATATGGTCAATACTAACAATTAAACAAACACGCCAGTAGCCAGTACTTTACGGTCAATTAATATAAATGTAAAGCATTAGAGCAAAACTTGGTAATGTAACACGCTCAAATTAAGATCAAATTGTTTATAAGATCAACCATGTGTTGAGTTTTTACACTTGAGACATTGCAAAAAATAGGTTGAAATAGACGTCCAGAACACCCTGGTGTCCAACCAATTATCAAGCAACACATCGAATAATGTTGTAAATTATGTTAAAACCCAGAACTATGTTATTCTACTAACAGTCATATCAAAACATGGTTGACAGATGAGGAAATAAAGTTTACAGTGCCGTTTTCACATTTTAATAACATAAAATGCAAATAGAGTTGAAAATATAGAATGTTTGGCAGATATCTAAAGTTAATGAATGTGTATAAACGATAGCAGAATCGACTAACAAATGTTACACCAATAAATAAATGATGGACACTGAACTAATGGCTAAGCCATATCCGTCAGACTTGAAATCTCCTGAGTCTTCCCTTTGACAAGATCTTGAGTGTGCATTGCTGAAGAGTTTCATATCGGGATGAAACAGTTAAGCACAAAGCTCCCTGATTTTCATTGATCTTTAACCTGTGACTAGTATCACTAAAACTTATGGCTGACTTTGACAAAACCTCAGTTTCTTTTTCGTCATTTACCGAAACAATGAAATCAGGAAACCTGTTTCAGTAAATTTAATACCTCCAAGTAATTATTCCTATTTGCTTGATGGGAGTTTGTGTCAGTAATTCAATCGAATCCATAAAAATGCTTACTTATACATATGCTTGTCATATAACACTCTGAATCTAATCATATACCTTCCTGTCATATTCTATATTCGTAATGAATACTTAAGTCTGATTGAAACTCTATAATCATATGGTCTCCATGACGTTTAGTAGGCTTATCGTATTTCTACTGACATTCCGCCAGATAATTGTCACTTTTGAAGACAATGAATGGATCGTTGGATGAGCACAAGTATGAAAGCACTAATCTTGTAATATGTGATATTTTTTGTTCTAAGCTATTTTTATATCAATTAACCCTAATTTATTTACTCAAACAAGTATAGGTAGTTATCATGTCATGATCCCGTTTACCTTGTGTTTCATGCTAACTGGAACTCGTAAATAAGATATAACGACAATCTTGAGAAAACTGATGCCACCTGTGGAATTTGAGTTCACATCACACCAAGTAAGTTGAGGTCTCAGTATCTCAATAGTGACATGTGAGCCTGAATAACGATAGGAGTTTGAATTCAAGAGAATACATAAGACCCACCAAGATTCCAGGTGCCTCTTACTTATAAGTCCCAAATAGAACAAAGCTTAGGCAAAATAGAGTTCCTTATCGACTACCTTCGGTCACCTAACATAATAACATAATGAACGAGATTTGCAAGTGCTTAAACTGATGGCGACATCTCAACGTTATTGACAGAATTCGATCAAACAAGGCAGTAGCCACTACCCAGTGATCAATCATTGTAGATTAGAACAAAACACTAACTATCCGTTTTTAGAACCAACATTGTACATTTCAAATAAACATTAATGCATGATCAAAACTTATATTTTTTTACGGTATGTTTTGCATACACTCGACAGTTCATTCAATCATTATCGTGAAAACGAACAAGCTGAAAATAAAGAAATATTTTTAAATTCAATATATGGATCAAACTAAATTTAAATTTATCATCAGCTCCCTAGTTTATTGCTGTAATAAACTGAAAAAATTAGGTCATTACTTTTAGATATAACCAAGTCATATTTGAGTATTAATCATAAGGTCCCTATTTATTTTCGTATTACTGTTTAAACTACTTGTTAGTAGGTCAAGTCTTATGACAAAATTTTCAGGACGTGGCTTATTGAAAAAATTAAGTCAGTATTAAGTTAATGTATTTACCATAAAATTCAATCATTACAAGCATATAAATATAAAGATATCGCTCAAAAAATAACAAACAAGCGAAAAAAGACAGATTTTATACAGATAGTTCTTGGTTAAAATATTCAATTAGTTTATCCAGATTATAATTTTCCAATAGTTTAAATAAATCATTCTTTCTATAGCTTACATCTTTCCCTTGAAAACGATGTTTATCAATGTAGAGACTGACAATACACTCTAAAAGTTTAACAAAAAGAAAAACAGGTAGTTTTCGTTTGAAAAATAACAAAGTACCATTTAAAAGAAAATTGTTTCATTCGACTATATTACTGATATGTGAGCGAGAATGATAATGATTGATTGTTTGATTTGTCCGATTAGTAGATAGTCTGACAAGTGTTAGATGAGTTACATATTCCCCTATCGTTATCATTACTTATTATTGATCGCTGTTGGATTGTGTCGGCTTGTTGTTGGTTTATCGTGTGGAAATACATTTACGTTCTAGTCAGGCTAATCACGTATTCTTGATCTGTAGAATAGACACTGGGAGGAAGTCTAGTGTTGATACTTGTCTAAAGCAAATTAACGTCCCATTCGTGTATACAAGGAAAACCGTGCGTTATAACAGTTACGTATAAACATAGGCAGTTTTTTCCCTTAATAATAAGAAATCTTTTGTATTACATAAGATTACATTCATTATGATTTAAAGCAGCAAGCATATAGTGTTGTGTCTTTAAATGCGACTTTTTATCACGGAATTTATTCGCCAATCGAAATACGACTTATTCATTTTTGTACTGTACTAAACCAATGAGATTCGACCGGTCTGATCAGCCTAGCATCCTTACTGGTCCTTTGTTCGCCTATCCCGTTCACTCGAATCCAGAACACGAATAACAAATTCCACTATACGAATCATTTATTTCAAACATATTCGGTTTATATACCAGACAAACAGACCAAATCACACCATAAAATAGGAAATAACATTTATCAGTATAGGGTTGTAGAGATTATCAAGTTTTTGATTGAGATCATGAACCGATTGATATCAGACCATCATGAAAAATCTGGAAGCACTATAAGGCTGTTTCTTCCTATTACGGGACTCCACGATCTCGCTCTCGGGATTCGAACCCAGGGCCTTCAACCTCGAGCGCGAACGCTTAATCTCTAGACCACTGAGTCGGCATCCAGCGGTGTTAATGTCTAACCTCAATCAATCCGCGAAATTGCGCGACCATCTTCCATTGTACTGAGGTAGATACCTGTCTCTAATCGACAAGGATTAGCTCCACTGGTCAAGGATAAGAGGAACATGAATATGAATAGTTTAGTTATTTAACAATTATACAATAAAAATATACGCATAGTATTGTTCCATAAATGGATCCCCAGAATTACCATTCATTATTCTTATCAGGAAATAACATACTATTATAGAAAATATCTTACCATAATATCTATTTAATTGACATGATTGATATTTGAATTCTTGTTTTAATTTATTTGAATCTCTCCATATTTGTACATATTCTAATGGTAAATAATCGGGTGGTAATGGATTATCATTTGGAGTAATTTGTCTAAATAAACCATTATTTCTATTGATAGATTGAATTTCATTTGAGATTAACTCTGTTATTGGTTTGATTAACTTCACTTTCTTTTCTAATTCTTTAAGATAAACTAGTTTGGTATCAATCATTCTTAACATATATTCTATACTATCCATTTGAATATCTAAAATAAGTTGAAATAAAAGAATCTTTCATGAGGATCAAATTTTTAATGTACTTTTATTATCAGTAGTATAAGTCAGATGTTCATCTGTCTATCAAAAGAAAATTATACCGCATATATATTCACTCTGATCAACTTCGAGATCGACAAGTTGGATTCTGTAAGGATCGGTCGTGCACAGACCAAATTGCGACACTACGGATCATCGACGAACAATCAGTTGAGTGGAACTCGTCACTATACATCAACTTCATTGACTATGAGAAGGCGTTTGACAGTGTGGACAAGAGAAGATTATGGAAACTTCTTTGACACTATAGAGTTCCTGAGAAGATTGTTAACATAATCCGGAACCCATACGACGAACTACAGTACAAAGTCGTGAATGGAGGATAGCTGACAAATGCATTCCAAGTAAGGACCGGAGTTAGACAAGGATGTCTACTCTCCCCTCCCTCTTTCTTCGGGTAGTTGACTGGATTATGAAGACCTCGATGTCTGAGAAAAGCATGGAATACAATGGACAGCTCAAAATCAATTAGAAGATTTGGACTTCGCAGATGACCTGGCCCTTCTATCCCATACACACCAACAAATGCGGATAAAGACAGCCAGTGTAGCAGCAGTCTCTGTATCAGTAGGCCTCAACGTACACAAGGGGAAAACCAAGGTTCTCAAATACAACACGGAGAACAGCAATTCAATCACTCTTGATGGCATAACTCTGGAAGATGTAAAATCCTTCACATATCTGGGAAGCATCATCAACGAACAAGGAGGTTCAGATGCAAACATAAAGGCGAGGATTGGCAAGAAAAAGCCGCATTCCTTCAGTTGAAGAACATATAGAACTCAAAACAGCTGCAAACCAATATCAAAGTCAGAATCTTCAATACGAACGTCAAGGCAGTTCTACTGTATGGAGCTGAAACTTGGAGAACTACAACAACCACCATCAAGAAAGTACAAGTATTTATAAATAGCTGTCTACGCAGCATACTCAACATTCACTGGCCGGATATCATCAGCAACAGCCTTTTGTGGGAGAGAACAAACCAGCTTCCAGCTGAAGAACTTAGGAAAAGACTTTGGAAGTGGATGGGACATACATTGAGGAAATCACCAAACTGTATCACGAGCCAAGCTCTGACTTGGAATCCTGAAGGGAAGCAGAAAAGAGGAAGGCCGAAGAACGCACTACGTCGAGAAATGGAATCAGATATGAAAAGGATGAATAACAACTGGAAAACATTGCCCAGGACAGGGTTGGATGGAGAGTGATGGTTGGCGGCCTATGTTCCTCCACGAGAGGTAACAGGCGTATGTAAGTAAGTATATTCACTCTGCATGACTACATGGTTGTGAAACATAATCAATGAGGGTAAGAAGCAACGATGCTTAAGTTACTAATCATCAATCTTAGATATCTTTGACGTATACCCCACATATATTCAAACTTTTGAGTTAGTAATACTGAGGTTAGGAGTGCGTTATTAATAAAAATCATAAACTCTTTGGTAAAGTGAAAACTTTCATCGACTCAGATCGCTATGTCATATGCTATGTATGTCTCAGCCACTGCCTAGCCATATATTTAAGTTTGTTTGAATAACAGTTGAAATCGTGATGGCCAAAACCGTGTCGATAGGCGTAGTCTTTCTGGTTGAGGCTTATGTTTGGAGACTTTAAGTGATATAGTTGAAAATAGATCACAGTAACTTAGCCATTTTTCTTAAGATATACATTTCCCAATCTTCTACTCTAGAATTATTTTATGCTTTTTACCACTGCAAGCTGTGCTCATTATCAGTGGGATTTTTTTTACCACCATTTATACTACTATTACACAGACTGCTGTAAATTTAATTGTGTTAATGTTTTATACTTATTTTGATAAGAAATATATCCACTGGTGTTCATTTGTCACATTTATCGCAAGTTGTACTCTTTCTATAACAATTTGATCTTAGTTTAAAAAAAAAAGAAAATTAAGAGGCACCATGAAACTTGTTTCATTTTACATCAAGATTGCATTGAGAATAACTTAATAAAAGTAGTATTTTCAATAGTTGAAATCATGAGTCAATCGAAGCTAGACCACCATGGAAAAGTAGTATTGTTAAATAAACTACACGAAATACAATCCAGTAGTAGTAAATGTATAAAAACAAGATGCAAATAAAGAATGAATCTAAATAGTATTGCTTAACACGATGTTATTTGAAGCGAAATGTACTAGGTTCGAATCCCGGAATAAACGTTGACTCTGGGATGCAAGTGTTCCCAGATGACCAGTGCTAAACAAAACGAAACGCGCATCCTAGATTCTACTAGTAGCCATCATTCACCTCTGCTTATAATTTTTAATGATTTTTTTATAGATTTTAACCTGAAATTCCACAATTTCTCATACAGCTAACTCCTGTTTTGGTATACCTGCCTTTAACCCTTTTTCGCATATTAGTCACCGTAACGCAATTATGGATTTTCTTTGTTTATGCATTTCCTAATATTATTTACTATATATCCCAAAATGACCGAAATCACAATTGATATTCTGATTCCGTTCTTAAAACTGCACAGAACACTGGGAAAGTACCTCACACCACCCTGTATTATTTTTCCTCTAAAACTCCTACGATAATATGCATAAAATACAAAACAATAATGTACCGTACGTAATAAATTAGACTATAAACAAAACTAGAAGATTCACGGTACAATTGTAAATAACAGGATTATAACTTACAAACAGTAATATATGAAAGTAAAGGAATGTAACAACTATTAAGGAGTTAAGTGATAGCTTATAGTTAAGGAGACGGAAAATATCAAAATAACAAGAACCAATCGTTTATTAAAAACGTCTAAGGTCAACTAATATTTAATAAACATGTAATGTTCATCATTTCCAAGCGTTTTTCCGTTCACCTAATGGGTGAGTACTGCATTAAGAAACATAAATTTCATTGGGGAACTTCATTTGAACCACCTAAAGCTATCTGCATATTTCCCCACTATGAATACGCCACTGAAGTGCATCCCAACTTACCGAATGAAAAAAAAGCAAGTTAGAACATGAAGCGAAATCTTCAGTGGAAACTATGCTCTTATATTCAGTATTCACTGACCAAGTGAACGGAAAAACGTCCAAAAATACTTGATACTGTGAACATATTGGATATTGTAAAACGAATGAACTACAATTTTGCCGATGAATATAAAAATAAAGTAAAAATTGTATATACTGCTTCATGGTGAAGAATAACTTTCAAAGTTTCTCATTTCTATTCCTCATCTCAGTTAAAACAAATGCATCAGTCAGTATATGTCTCCATTACTCCGTAAGGTTATGTTATATCTAATTCATCCAACTAATATCATTACTTACGGTTTCCTATTAGATATCTGAATAACCATGTCGTTTTTTAGAAAATTCTCAGTTGCTTAGAATAATGGATGTGAAATACTGAATACCAACTAAGTATTAAACTTCCAACAGGAGACCTGATGATCCCGGATTCCATCTCAGGTGGGATCAAGGATGATCACTATCACAGAGGAATCCTAGACTAAGACAAAACAGCTGAAGACGTATCTGTGGAATGCATGATGGCTCCCAAAACTGTCGCGTTATATCCAAGAACTGAATAAAGTTCATTGAATTACAATACAGTGGTCTACATGCAACAAACTTGTTGAAATATCCAAAAGTCACTAATCTGATTGCCAAGAGGATTGAACTTTTAAAAAGTTCCAAATAATGAGTTAAGAAAAACTCTTCAGTGTTGTATGATCCTTGCTAATTTCCCGTCTACAATCCATTTCACTTGTTATAAATTAAATTCGTATGCTTCATAACAATAGTAAACTACTGTTGAGTGGTTTTAAGAAAGATATGTTAAGTTCCAAACGTGATATATTTCGATTTATGAATAAATGAGACTTCATTCTAAATATTAGATCTCTGCAACTATGGAATAACAACCAATACTAAATGATACGAAAATTTCATATGTTCATGGAATCTAGGAGATTTCACTAATCAATTATTTGAATTTTATATTGAATTTAATACAATGTTCATAGCTTACTTTCAAAACTTTCTATCAGTAGCGATAACATTATGTACACCAATGATATAAAAATCTTCGTTTTCCATGAAAAGGAACTATATGAAGCGATTGAAATGACAAGAAATTAAAGTTCACGAATGTTTCTAGTAAGAGACATGTGCTACATTGTTATTAAACAGTTGATACAATTTAACTACTTATATATTAGACAAGTAGTTTAAACTTCTTACAAAAATTATTTTGACATAACTACCACTTTTTAGTTATACCGACTAACTTGAGTACAAGTCGGTTCAACTTCCAAATTTGATAACAAGATAATGAAGAGTACCTAAGTTAATTGATAATTGAATTTTCTTTCTAGTAGCTTCTTTAGTTAAGACATCTTTCAATATAGCAATTGTAGAGAGATTGTCCGATTGGAGATTAGCATAACCTTTTGCATAGACACATTTCAATTGACTTTTAAGATAAATTGATTTATAGAACAGTTGCGCAGATTCTTCACAATCGCGATTGTCATTTTCATCACCTTGTTTTGTATCCGAATTAATTAATGTAGGCCTTTCAGGGGTTTCAGGTAAGCACATAGATAACCAATTATGCATTTCCGTTAAAGAGAAATTTCCAGTTAGTTGTAAACGGTTCCAATATCTATTTACGACATAAAAATAAGTAAAAAAAACTCCTTAGGCGTCTCATATTGACAGAATTAGGATCAAATTATGTGTGTACACTAAATTGAATCGATAAACAATATGAATAGCTCATTGGAAAAACTAGGGAGTGTTGAATAGACCGTTTAGCCAAACTTCCCTCTATATGTAGATCATTGACACACTATTCGACTGCTCAAAATCGAAACAAGAAATAGAGGGAAGCTCAAACTATATAATCTATTAGTTAAAACCTATTTAACTAGTCATCACTACATATTATATTTAATCACATTGTAAAAATATCCTTTTAACAAATAAATTCATGCTTCACTAGTAATATAAACTATTATATGACTGGTAGATGTGTAGTCTTATTGTTTGTTTGGTAATATTCATTTTCGACTTTGGTCAACATTTTGACATTTAACCATAAGTATAAAAATCGGAGATTGTATTCTTGAAAGTGTAAATTCAGTCAGTTGGTCAGTGATTATTTTTCTCTGGAATTTTAAGTCAACATGAAACTTGGAGGGTTAATTCCGTGAATAAGCAAATCCATTCAACCATATCAATCATCCCTGTAATACAGTAAACTCACCTTTTTAACGGTTCATCTTCTATATGATGAGTTAAACAATGTAATGATAATGGATGTATTAATAGCTTAATACATTTACATGTAACCATATTTGATAAATTTATTTTTGGTACTACATACACAGATACATGACCGTAATGACCTTCAACCGTACGAAATTGAATGTCAAACCGTGTTGTATTCACTTGGCACCGATACGTTGTCAATAATGCATTACCGTCCTAATCAAAATCAAGTAGAAGAGAATGAATGTGTAGTTAAAAATATAAATCAACATTTTAAGTGATTGGTCAGTGATATTGTGCATGCCAGTTATGCTGACAGATATACGTAGTGTGTAGCATCAGTCGGGAATGTAATGTATGCGAGCAGAAGGTCGATAAGATTGAAATAAAGAGAAAGAAACTGAAAGTAATCGTGATAACAACAGGAATAAAGGAACAATGAAGCTTGTTAGAGACAATTCGATAATGTGCAAATGATGTATTTGATGTGTAATTTTCACATTTTAGTAAACGACTGTGTGAGTGAACATTGAACAATAAGTCGGTCTTCCCCATCTGAGTGTTCATTCACTTCATTTCATGTCGCTGCCAAATAAGAGACGGAAAGGGTGAGATTCTGCGGATAGTTGGGGTGGTCTGGTGCAGAAACGTGACATCGATAAGAGTGTTCTGTCGGGGTGGCGTCGGCTGTAGCAGTCGCCGTTGGCGGAGAGGAGTAAGCTGCCGGTCTCTGGGCGGACATCAAATTTAGATGGTCTTGCAGGTTGACATTGCTACGGAGGTCAAAGCGCCGGCAGACTCGACGTTTCGACGGAGAGTGTGGCACAGGCTGTGGAGAAGAAGGAAGCGGCATAAGGAGCAGAATGTCCGCAAGGATGACTTACGTTTAAAGGGAGGACGAGTGTAGTGCCAGCTATGCATGTCTACAGAAGATTGGGAGGATTCAACTCAAGAAAACAGAAAATAATCGTAGTAACGACAGAATTGAAAGAATCACGATTCATGTAAACAATAACAGATGGAAGATGTGCAAATTATGTATTTAACATATTGTTTTCATATTTTATGAAAGCACTCTGTAATTTTGTAATAAACAATAAATTAATCTTCCCCGCCTGAGTGTTCGTTCACTTCAATATGGATATTGAACTATACTGAGTGATGGTTCGGATAGTCCTATATATATATATATCACAGATACTTTTTTTGTTCTAGAGTTATCTATATACTACTATGTTGTTCAAACTGAAATTAAGTAGATTTCAAAATTGACACCTAGTTACTGATATGACGGGATGAAAAGTCAAAATTAGATTGATTTATTGATTATGATTTTTGGTTCAACATTAATTTCGTTTTAATTCAATGTGATCATTGGTTAGCAAAGTATTTGTTTCTGTTATGCCGTATGACATTCTATTCTGTATAACATACGACGATATCTTTGTATTGAATGAACATGAAATATACTCAGCATGTAACTCGTTATAACGCTAAGTATTATTCATATGTGTGATTTTATCCTGCTTATTAATCAAAAAATGGGTTTATGAATCAATATATAAATGAGTGTATTTCCAACTAGTCTGGTCGTGATTGTTTGTGCTTCTGGCTGCTCGTGGAATATATTTCCCTCTTCCTAACTAGGACTGGGCTGAGGCGCGTCGGAATAGCTAGCTTGTCTGTTATTGTGTCACAGAGTCTTCGTTTGGTTCTCAGATTAGGTTAACTTAAAATATCTTCAAACATAGCATTGCTTTTTAGCAAGGTTGTTTTCTAGGAAATGGAGTAGCTGAGCCCATGTTCCACCCTCAACCTTTATATGGGCTAGGGACCAACAGTGACTCTGGAAGGACTATAGGTGAAGTTAGAAAATAATGAACTTGTGAATAAAATCACTTCCATATATTAAGTTTTGAATTAAATGAACTACACAATATAAGTTTCATCGATAGCATTTACATGACATAAAGTATCCCCTGTTTTTTTCGTTAGCTTATCTGTCATTGTATCACAGAGTCTTTGTTCCGTTCTCTGATTAGTTTAATTCATAATGTCTTCAAACATATCAGTTGCATAACCATTAAATTACTGTTTCATATTCACAAAACAAAGACCTTTAGTAATACATTGTAACACTTACATCTTTTGTACATTCACTTGAACTACTTACAGCTGTATTCTCTTCAATATCGAATAAATCAATTGGACAATTACTTTGTATTAATATATGATCAATTGGTATTTGGGTTTCTATATTTAAACAATATACAGATAGGTCTTTATTTAAATAAAATTTATAATCTAATTCTAATGGTATTAAAATAATTTGTTCTTTTTCAATTTGTTTTTGATTCAATTTCATTAGTTGTAATTGATTTTCTAAATTTGAAATTTCTTCACTTTTTTTGATAAAAAAAAAGAAAAAACAAAATTGAACATTGAACAACATTTGTGTGCTTACCATAAGTATTGAACAATGAAATTAGGTGAGACTAAAATTTATGAACGAGCCAATCAGAAGCGTTTGGGGGATTTCAAGGTCACGGTGCCAATTTCAGTATTTGGTGCTTACGTACGATCGATTCATAGTGGATTTGGGAGGAAATGTGATAATTGAACGGCTATACAAAATGGGACTATTAAGAAGTTCCTTTATTTGTTAGTGATAATCAAATGACTTGTGGACCTTGTGCAGACTACCGTGATGATATTGTCTTTCGATGTAATATGTGTTGGAGGAAGAAGTAGGTTAGAATAAGATTTTTTCGCTCGATCCCGATTGAGACTAAGGCAATTGCTACGAACTCGATAATAAAAGCACCAGTAACACTGGCTGCAGCCGGGTACTATGATATATACGGAGAGCGTATAGATGCCTATATACACTTGGTTATGTGCATCGTGTCGTTATCCACAAGTGATATTTTGTGAACCCAACAACCGGAATGCACACAAACAATATTGAAGCTACGTGGTCGAAGCTGAGAAAGTTTTCGCGACCTTACCGTGGCTCGAGAGGCCGACCATTATGAAGCTATATGGATGATTTCCTCTACTGCACGCATTACGATTTTAGAACCTATGAACCTCTTTCTAACCTTGACAGATTTTTGAACCATGCAAAATAAATGTATCCTTTTTAATTCTTTGGTTTTGTATAATATATTTTTACTCGATACTAACTTTTCTGATTGACTAATAGTCCTCAAGGTCACTTAAGGCTCCTTCAAAGGTTGTCCAAAAGCTATATTCTCACCACCATCTCCTTTTGAACACATAAGTCAGACTTTCGACGCCTGATAGCAACGGCTTCAGTAAACTTCAGAAGACTGGAGTTTGACTGCTTACTAACCACCTTGAAAGATTGCAAGTTATCAACCTAATGCTTTGTATCAAGGTGATGTTTGGTAATTGCACTGTTTAGTCTTTATTTCTCTTGTTCTGAGGCTTTTTGAAGCATGCTCAAAAACTCCAAGATATAGCCTCCTTTTTGTTTGGCCAATGTAGCTGCTTTGACGGCGTAGACCAAACATCTCCTTGATACAGGACATCAGGTTGATAACTTGCAATCTTTCAAGGTGATTAGTAAGCGGCCAAACTCCAATCTTCTGAAGTTTGCTAAAGCCGTTGCTACCAAGCGTCAAAAATCTGACTTATGTGTTCAAAAGGAGATGGTTATTAATCTTTCCTTGCCTTGGTAAAAATATTCCTTCGATGCATCTTGTAATTTCTTTTTGACTCTCACTTATTACATCATTCAGTGTTATTTGAACTATCTTTCAAGTTAATAATCTTATTTATCAACTGAGCTCTACTCACTATATTCCTGTCAATGTTTATTCATTATGTAATCACTTGTTTCTGGACGTTTGAACTGTTGTCACAATCAATGTTGTGGAATGTTCTTTCATCACCTAAGGTATATATTTACAATATTCAACCTATTGAATTTATTTACACCCTTGCTATACTATACTAATGTAACTTTAACGTAACTTCCAACTAAAATTTTTCATGTAAGTAATTTAAACCCATTTCGTAATTATGTTTTAAATATCACAGGTTGTAAGCAGTTGACGAGAACCAAAGAAATAAAATGAATTCATGCCATTCCGGGTCGTGAATCCTGAATCTGATATAACGGCTCATTATCGTATTGACGTATTGTCTTAGTATACCTAAGAGTCAGAAGAATATTTAATACCATCCGCTATATCAGAACCCAGTAAAAAAACACCCTGGATTACCGAAAGTGACATTGAACAACATGGTTATCATCATCGAATGACCACTATTAGCTAGATGTAACAGAAATTAGCTATATAATAGACTTTTTTTATCCATTTGCGAACCAACTCTTGTGATTTTAAAATAAGCACACCCAATTATAAACCCCTTGCAAGTCATTTCTTTAAGTAAAAATATCTACAAAATCTCTATTGCTCTAAACTACGACGGAATACCTTTAATGTCGGAGATGAAAGTGTGGAAATAACAGGAAACACAAAAGGCAACCATCACAGCAACTGGTTACTCACTTTAATTTATCCACTTTTGACATAAACTGAAGTTCCATTACGTCAGGTTGATCGAAGAATGTTTCTTTTCTGATTGGTTGTGTAGTTAAACCAAAAACCAAACCTTGAGAGCCAAGACACGAAAATGCAGATTATTAATTTGCCTACTATTACATTTGCAAGTAGTATAATCGTAATACGAAAATAATCTGTAAGGCCATACTTAAATATTTGGGATACAATTCTCTAGATTGTTACAGTAAAATAGTTCTTTCTTTTGAGGGAATCGATGCACAAAGCTGAACGAACATAAATGCACACTGTTTTACCCCCACGTTAATAAACAATTACACGTTTTTTTCGGCAGTAATATAAATTTACTGAACACAGTAACGGAAAAGGAATAAAATTTTACTCATATCAAAAGACACTGAAAATGTAATTGATGAGAGCTTATATGCTTATGAACAACATCTTAAGCTTTAGACAAAGATTATTAATTGTGAAAAATAGTTATCCAACATGACAAGATAACATTTAAAAATCGAGATGAAATATAATCAAGTAGGACATGGAGAAAGAAATAAGTAGGTTAAGAGTAAAAGTATAGTTCAGTACAAAAGAAGAAGATAGTGTGATGGATTTGAAGAAATAGGGGGTTAAGACCATGACAGAACAAGGAATTGAATAGGTTCCTTCATTATATGCATAAAAACAAAACATACCAGTATATGTAATGCATAAAAGTTCCGGATAATTTACATTAGAAAATCGACCAGCCATCACGGATGTTAAGTGATAATTCACTTTCTAAAACATGAAAAAAGTAAATGGAACATTAAAGTTCTAAGCAAAAAAAAATACAACTTTTAGTGTAAATACGACATGTACATGCTTTTTACTATGGGAGTCAAGGAATATATAGTCTTCAAAGAGGATGAATTCAAAATAACATTCCTGGGTAATTTCCACAGTAATACAAAGACCACTGAATGAATTTTATTACCGAATGCTGTTGCTTTGGGATGTATTCGTTTTTATCAATGATCGTAGGCAACCTTCACTGATTGGTAATATCTAGCTTAAAAAACCGAGGCCTTATGTTTATTGCTTTTAGTCATTTTATATCAAACAAAATTCACTGTGATCTTCACACACAATTCATCGATAGAATTTGATATGCGCTGAGAACGAAACAACTTGATAGACGTCACTATTCAATGATCAGTAAATGAAACGAAAGGTTGCGCATGATCATGGATTGATCGTATTCGGACATTAACACCGCTGGATGCCGATTAGGGGCTCTATAGATGAAGCATTCGTGTGGGACCGAAGGCCCGGGGTTCGATTCCCGTGCGTGGGGCCAAGGATGCACACTACTAGGTATTTCAATACTAGGCCAAAACGGCCATCAAGTGCTTCCAGATTTTCAATGGTATTTTAGCTTGGATCGACTAGTGATGTCAACAGCGAAAATATAGTTTAAAAAGACAGGAATGAAAATAATCATTGGTTAGTTTTTCCTCTGACCTTTACTTTCAACCTTGATTAGTCATTTAGCAACTGATAATTAACTCGAGGTCATTATATTCTGGCTGAATCATTGTCTATCAATAATAACTCTTTTGAATCGTTACAATCGCTTTAGACAATGGTAACGTATCACGCCGCGAAACTGGGTTTGAATCTCATAGGGCATATTAGCACTCTATTGAGGCTATGGAATCTACAAATATAAATTAGAAAGAACGGTATCTGTTATATCCGAGCGAAGATTAAATCACGAGTAACTCCTGAGACATATTAATTGACTAATATTACCTATATTGTAAATTTAGAACAACATAGATATAAGTGAACAATATTGTTTTGAATTGGATCCTCATCATGTTTTACTCTAATATACAGTAATGTTTAAATGAATATACGAAATTATTAAACCAATCAAGGTAGTTTATGAGTCAATGATAACAATGAAAACGATTACATAATAAGTGATTTGAGCCTTTATTATTCTTATCAAAACTAATGCACCTGTTGTCACACCATCAATTTGTACTTTTCACGTTTCATTTATTATGTAATCGTTTCCATTGTTATCATTGACTTATAAACTATCTTGATTAGTTTAATAATTTCGTATAGGTATCTATAAATATTATTGCATATTAGAGTAAAGCCTGATGAGGATCTAATCGAAAACAATATTGTTCGCTTATATATGTTGTTCTAATATTACTTATATATTCTCATGGTATAATTATTCAATAATTAGATTATGTGAATTTATATTCCTCTTATTATAAGCTTTATTTTGATTTATAATTTATTATTGTGCGAATTACGGTTCTTAAGCTATGCTCAGTTTACTGACTACTGCCTCCCACGTTCACAGCCACATTTGGCCAAATATTGTACAAATGTTATTTTCTATTTTATGGTACGTTGTGGTCTGTCTGGTTGATATATAGACCGAGTATGTTTGAAATAAATGATCCATATTGCAGAAGCTGGTATTGTGTTCTGGACTCAAGCGAATGGCTAGGCGGACATAGGACTAATAAGGACGCTAGGCTGCTCATATCGGTCGGACGTCATTGGTTTGGCATAGTGCTAAGATTGTATAAGTCGTATTTCGATCGGTGGACAGATCCCGTGATAAAAGCCGGATATAAAGTCATAACAGTATCAATATAGCTTTAAGATGAATTTTTGTTACATTATTTTGTGTGAATTCTATTATCAGAATTTATCAAAGAAACTAATTGTTTTAAATTCTAGTAATTTCCCTTGAACCCATTTTTCATTATAAGTTGTGTTCATCGATAATTACTCAGTTTTCATAGTTTACATCAAGGACATATCTTAGTTAGATCATCATTGAAAACCAAGAAGCACTGAAAAGCTGCATTATCCTAGTACTGAACTCCTCAACAGTACGCATCCATGACTTCACTGGATATTAAACCTAAAACCCTCAAATCAAACAGGAAGCACGATATCATGTAATCAATAAACCAGTATTCAACAAATCATATTTTCAATCATAAAAACTCTATGATATATATATATATATATATATATATATATATATATATATATATATATATATATATATATATATCAAGATCTCCATAACATTTCAGTGGTCAGTAATTTACTGACCTCTGGCTTACATCTTATCACCAGGATTGAAAGTAATGAGTTTGATCCCATATTTTGAAGCAGTCAGTGCATGCTATTAAAGAGATCCATTTAAGGAAAAAATATCTGTCCGATGCAGTCTAGTTTTGAACGTTTCTCAAGATAATATCAGTTTTTGATTAAAGATTCTTCCGTTATCAAACTCTCGACATATAAATAATCTCCATAAAACTATTTAACGTATCTATCACTCACCGTTTCATACATCAGTAATGGATATTTATGTTGATCATATTTATACAGTTCGATTCTTCCACTTGTAAAAGCAACAATTAATATCTCTTCAGTATTTTCACTATCATCATCATTGCTATTGTTTTTGTTATTGTCATAATTCAACATATCATAATGTTCCAGTGATAGAATTTCACTGGTACCAAATTTTGATGAGGCTTCCCATATTCTTGTGACATTTTCACTAAACAAAACAATAACAATAATAGTAGTAATAAGTATAAAGTGAGGAATAAAAGATGCTATCAGGAAAGCGTAAATCGATAAAATTACTATTTGTAATGATCTCTGTATTTTTGTTGTTAATATTTACGATAATCTGTTTTATTAGTATCTGCTAGTATAAGCGGCTTTTTCGCTGGATGTTTTAATAAATACTGCTTGCGCTTACATGATTATGATACTAGTTTCTAACAGTGGAACCCGCATCATGGATTTCATTAGCTGAATATACTTATATCGCACTGACAAATCCAACACCTAGTTCTTTGAACGTTGAGTTATCCGCTAAGGTAGTGAGTGAAGATCATATTTAGCTTATTTAATAGTTATATCAAAAAAGACTGTTCTAATGTACCTCAGAATGTTAACAACATTAAAACATAAATCCGAATGAATAATAGCATGTAACCTTTAAACAAGTTGGTAGCTATCATAAGTCTTGGAGCTCAGTAAAATAAGCGCTAAATAATAAATTCATGTTTCACTGTGAACATCAAACCGAGATCAAGATACGTCCATTTGCGATTAATAACAGTTACAACGAAACTCTAGTTCTAAATTACAACCTTAGTCACTATTGGAAATATATGTTTAATTTGCTGAAAATATGTTCAACAGAGGTACTGCAAAACTAAACAAGCACAAATAAATATGGAACATTCATCAAATTAAAAAACGTAAAGTTATTTGTGAGTGATCAGTACGTTTCCTGTCTACCAAGTGAGTTTGATAGTAATAACTATACATATATATATACTATGATAGCCTCAGCCTTATCATTACTTCTCCATAAGAATTCGTCAGCAACTTAAATTTAAAAATAACTCACATATGGATATAATGACTAGGTTATTCCAAAGAAAAGAGATTCAAATATTCTATTAAGTTATTCAAGAAACTCACGTAACTACATAGGAACCAAGATCTGTATAAAAACTAATCATGGAAAAGTAATCAATACTAGGATGCATTGATGAAGACCGAAAGAAATCCTACTTATCAGAATCGAAAGTTTATCCAGATTGTCTGCCTTAAAGACAGTTTAATTAAGCTACCCAACTACCGAAAAATATAAGGCAATAAGAATTTGGTTTGTACTTATATATGACTTATTTAGTATCCACACTCACGAGTTCCTAACACGGATCAAACTCATGACGTTCAGGTCTTAAAGTAAATGTGCTCCCATTATTCTACTGAGTTAGTATTACAGAATATAATATATTCAATAAACCAAATAAATTGACAAACTTTAATCATTTATACTGCAGTGTTTTCAGAAGTATTAATAAACTTAACGAAAGTTACCATTTCAAAATAACAACATTCATTAAAAAAAGCCCTGTGACTTCTCACTCTCATGTACACCTCTTTCCTTACGGGTTTGAACTAAGAATCTGCAACTCTATCAGTAACCATGTTGCTATACAGTCGTTAGGTTAACAGATTACAGAGAGTTGATAATTGCTCTCTCAATTATATTGACAAAGCTTATCATTGAAATAGTTATCTTGATCATTTGATATGGTTGATTTTATACACTTCAATATAACATTAGAAACTAAAGAAATTTATCTAAAAATCAACAGTTAATTATAATAAATAAAACTCCAATCAATCAAATAATCAATCACGAATTGATTGAAACTAGAAACATCAACAGTTGGATGCTAACTCAATAGTCTAAAATTTGAACCCTCATAGAGAGAAATAACGATCATAAGTTCTATCTTAGCTGAGGTCATGGATATGTAGTGCCACTGATAATTCCCATACATGAACGAAACAGCTGTAAAATACCCGTGGTTTACAAAGAATATATAACTAAGGTCAATCTCTTACGTAAAGTACAAAATTTATTAAAAATGTATTCATTTAATCTATGATGCTCTATTCACAATCCTTTCATACAAATGAATTTACAGATATATTAACATAGATAATATTTACCTTATCACTTGAAAAAGACCAAAATAACCTTCTGATGTTCCATACATTAAATAATTTGATGGATAACTTTTATGCGCTCTATTTATGGTGACTGGTGAACTAGAAATTTCCAATTCGCATAACAGTACACCATTCTAATAAATAAAAAACAATAATCAGTAATATCAAGATTTTAATTGTTCAAAGATCCTCATCATATTAAAAGATTCATATTTGAATGAAGAATATTCTTTTCGATAAATTCTCTTCAGGTTCTATAATTATCGTATATCCAAATTAATAATCCGAAAAATGGCCAGCTTAAGGGCAACGTATAACGTTTAAAGTGTGTGAATTTAGGATTGTGATAAACAAAATACAATAAAATGTTGACATTGACTCAGACAGAATGTTAACTTGAATCTGCGTTTATGTTTAGTGAAATTTTAAGATCCATGATCAGAATAAATATGGGTCAGATAGGGTGAGAGAGAAATAATAGTGCAATTACAAATTCGATCAAATTAGTTAGATGTAATAAGGAGGGATGAATACGAAGTGAATGAATCATGTATAGGAGAATGATGCTTAACCAATAATAGTAATAATAATAATATTAAAGAGGAAGAATGTACTTTTAAAATCTCAGCGAAAGAATTTGAAGTAAATTCAACGTTTCGCCTGGCAATCTGGTCCAAGCACTTTCAAGGAAAATATAATCAAACAACAAAATGATCGGATATAATAATAATAATAATGCAAAGATTTGTGAATAAAGATAACAGACTACGAAAGGTCGTAGTCGTAGATTACTATTGATTAATTGGTCTTGATTTTGGCCAGAGGAGGAGGAGTGGTTGAAGATATGTCTTCTGTACGCATAGCTGCGGTTTCTTCGTCCGGATGGCTACTGCTTCAGACGTTTGAAGAACTTTAAGTCTGACAAGCTTTGGCAAAAAATTACTGACTTTATAAATAATTGAAAAAGATTGGTTTATACTGGCACTATGACCAGTTTGTACTAAAAGGGCCAATATCGAGCTGTTCATTTTCTTCATCAAACCTTTGTTTAGCCACGCTGGGAGGTGTTCACGAGCATGAAAATGTAAATTCCTAGAACTTCGACCAATATAACTCGCTCCACAGGAGCAGTTGAACTGATAAATACAAAATGAGGTGGTCATTCTAGGCAATTTATCTTTTAGCCTCAGTGTCACCACTGGGCGCGTAGAAAACATTAATCACAGTTCCCCGGGGTTAAAAAATTTCTGTAACGTCTTACGTAATCTCTGAGTTACTGTTTCACTAGCCGCGTCCCCTCTGATTGATTAATTTGGATCTATAATTATAGAACCTGAAGAGAATTTATTGAAAAGAATATTCTTCTTTCAAATATTCGTCTTTTAATATCAAGATTCTTATGAAACATAAAATAGAAAATTTTAAGATTTTACTTACTTTCAAAATACGTATTAATTTATCTTTACAAGCAAGAACAACAAGTGGTATTGAACATGTAGCATCATTATTAATCACATATATACTTGTAATAATATCAGGTAATAGAAGAAATTCAGTATCTTTAAAATTTCTTAATTGTTGATACATACATCCTACAGTATAATAAATATTTGTAGATTGTATAAACCTAAATAACTCAAAGAAAATTAACTATGATTATTTGTTTTAATTAGTTAACATACATTGAATTCACATGACCTTGAATAGTTGAAGGATATTCAAAAATTTGTTTTCCTTTTAATGTAAATCCAGATATATTAAAATTATGACAAACACTAATAATACGTTGTTTCTCATTATTTTGATATGTTCCAATACAAATACATGTAATTGGTGATCCCACAGAAAATTTTGTATGCTATTAGAAATATATATAAATATATATACATTTACCTTTAATCCATTAATATATTGAAATGAATGTATATCACCAGTAGTATCTGCCACAATTAATTTACTCTTATAATGTTTGTTAGATAATGCCTTAGATGGTAATAAAAGTTTTGCAGAATTTCTAAAGGTTGTTTTTATCTAAAGTATTAGGTAGTAAATTTTGTTTTATATTTTTTTCCATACAGATGTATAATGTGTTTGATGAAGATTAAATGACATTGAACATTCAATAGTGTTGTTTTAATCAAATTAGTTTCTACGCGTCAGTCAGTCAATCAGTCAGCTACAACGTAGGCTGAAAATATGTATTTTAAAAAAAAAGTTACATTAGTTCATTTTAAGAGTAAGTACAGAAAAAGTATGAACGAATTTACCCGGCGATTTACTTCAGTAACTTGTTACTGCCAGTAGCATGATAAAATATCAGTGAAAAAAGTAAATATTATGTAAAAATGATCCAATTGGAATGATGGTAAGATTGGCATGAAGTTAATTTCGTTAATTCTACATCTATAATATCGAGTAAAAACTATTTGCAACAGAATGTTTACGATTCAAAATTATTTTATCATTAAGCATAGATTTGAATGACACCGTCACACTTTCTAGATATCAAAAACCTTAGAATTTGAAATAGTAAACAATATGACTCATATATCAAGTACATATTTATGTATTCAGCTCTAGGTCACACTTTCTTATGATCGGTAACATTAATACATTTTTAAATGCGTTAATTTTAGCCATGACTTCTATTTTATTTTGCATTATTAATTATTCCCCATCACATATATTTGACATGATATACTTTTTGAAGAAACAACAATTTTAAGTAGTTCATATTGACCAAATATCGTCTAAAAGACTTTTCCAGGTGTGGGATACTACATTACTATTAAGTTTTCATATCATTCATACAAAACTTAAGATACGTGTAGCAGTGAAATCATCAAACACTGGCAGCTCTATGCTTTTAGTGTAACAACAAGGATCTAGTTGCATGAAATTTTCTGAACTACACAGACATGAAGATGAAAATAAGACAAGATAATATGAAATGGCTTCTAATCGAGAGGTACTGAAAAGTTGAAATGAACATTTAACTTGTTACTTAAAATGTTTTGTTTTCATATGATTAGGAATTAACAAAATGATTCAGTATACTTGAGGAATAAATTAAAAATTTCGTTAACAAAATTCCGACGACTTGAATTAGATGGATAAAACTTTTAGTATAAACCAGTCACTTAACCAAAAATACATTATTTCAAACAATTCAGTAAAATACGTCACTCCACAAGGATGGAATTCGATTTCCTGTTGCTTCAATTTAATATCGAAACAACAAAGTGACGTAATGAGGAGTAAAGTAGGTTCTAAAAGTTGCTTTTGAGATTTTAGAAAAACGACCACTAAATATGAAGTTACTATTCATAAACCAGTATTCATCATTTGATCATCTTTTTGTTACCCCTACAAACAATTACATTTTGGTTGTTTCATAACAAAACACAGAAATTACATTGTATAACCGGCACTGTGAGTTAGTAATTAAAAGATATGAATTCATTAATGGATTGAAATAACTATATAGAAATTAAGTATGCAGTTCAAGCCAAACATTTTTCACCTGTTCAAAATTTTACGGAGAAAAATAGGTTAGTTAGTCAGTTATAATCATCGTATAGTCTAATATGAATGTATTTTTGCTCAAGCTGCCGCACCACATTAGCAAAATGAGATGAAAATAAAAAGATAACTAGAAAAGGAGTTGAAATAACGATAGCATCAATTTTAATAAATACAAAACGTTAAAAACCTGGTTCAAAAAGACAGTGTAGAAAAGGCATAAAAGGGATGCTAGAATTAACGATCGAGAAGTTGGAGAGTGAATAGATTTGCATCATTCTGATTGATTCTGGGACATATCACTAGTGTTTCTGACCAATAAACCCGATCATAGCGAAGACCACAACAACATACTTCTTAACTATCAACATACATCAAACCAAGTTATTGACTTAATTGACTGATCCAATACACCAAATTAGAACCGCCCAAGTTTCCTTCGACTTGCTTCCACAAAAGAAGAAAATTTCACATCGAAGTACGCAGTAGTTGGGCATATGCAACAAATAGCCAATCACCTCAACTGATGAACTGATGAATAGAGTTTCACCAACCGACCTGCTACTCTTATGACTCACTCATTTTTTCCACGTTTTTCAAACAATATTTATAGGACATCTCTAATCAGACACCTTTGGTCTATATATATCTTCTACAAGCTCTCTAACCTACCCTCCACCCTACATATGCTTGGTCAGCTGATAGAGAGACTTATTGTCAATGAAAATCTGTCATCTGTCATAGAAAATATAGATTTTCAGTTCAGTTAGCCAGATAATATATTTTTGACCGACCTCGTTAAAGTTTAATAGTTGAGAATGCAGCAAAAATTAAATAACAAGTACATTACAATGGCAAGTTGCCATTATATTTGTGATTTTTTAAATATATTTTTAATCTCTAGGTTTAAATGCCTACAACAAAATAAGATGCATAGAAACATTTTCAAAATTATTGACTGCTGGAATCAAAACAACAATAGTTAGCTGAGTTCATGTTTCTGAAGCAACTAATTTTGCGGACTAGCAGAAGAGTATTATTAATCGCATCTATCCGTTTGCCAAATATCAAATTAACAATTGATGCCATCTAATGGTCAGTAGATCTATCGCCGAGAGATTTCTCAGTGAATTATCAGTTCAATGTGTTTCTAAATACGGATAACTAGAAAACAAACAACCAAAATGAGGATATTTTCACTAGATTCGTAAATTATTAATCTTAAGTTACGTCTCACTGTACTTAACAATATATTCAGAAGTAACGAGACTTATAAGGCAAACGATCCATGGAATCCGTCAACGGATACTCAGTTACAATTTCATGGGCCAAATGTGATGTTTACTCAGCAAGTAAGACAATAAAATCTAAAATCCACACCGTAAATTCATACTAAAGTTTTAGTTTAATTATTGAACACCATCAATCCTAATTTGAAAAAGCCACATTGACTTACCACTCACGAAATAAAATTTTAAAAAAGAAAGTGGACATAACTTGTCAAATTGCTACGAGAATATAGTTTCACGACTTGGAGGATCATTTGAAAGCGTGAAATGCAAAAGTAAATCTAGGAAGGTCTGTGATTGTTGTAGTTGCTGTTTCCATTTATTAAAATCATAGAAACAGTCTGTTACGAGCTCGAAGTCAAACGCTAATATGAATGAACCTTAACAAGACAACTTAATTTGTATGTTATTTTTCTAATGAAATATTCCAGTGTTGTGCGGAAATGCATTTTTTAAAGTTATAACATTATAGGTTAAAAGAGATCATATGATAAATTAGACAGCAAATGTCATGAAGTAATAGAAAAACACACTATAAGAATCATCGGAAAGTGGAATCAGGCGCAAAAAACGTTAAGATAAACACGATGACTGTTATTAATTTTATGGATCTAAATTTACGGAAAAGTGAGCTTCTGTTCACTAAGCAGAATCAAAACCTGATGACAAATGACTGTATTACCTGGGTAATTTCATATCATTGCTTCAGCCTGGTTCTTTTGACGAAAGATAAAGATTTATCTTAGTAGTTCGAATCAATATTTATGTTGTATAAAATAATAATTTTTCTAGGGTCGTATTGGTCTTACACGAAGTCGTAATGAGCATAAGATTTGTGGCGAAATAATCAGTTTCACAGTTTAGGTAAACTGATTTGACCTGAGGCTGTTGAAGAAATTCAGTAACTCTTTACATTGGAATGAGTAAGGTCGACAAACTGTGTATAACTCGGAGTTGCTGAAGCAGAATCGTAAGCTATGTATTCAAAACAGGATTACATTGTATTCTGTGATAAACATTGCCACTAATTTGACTAAATGTTTGGTCTTATGCTTTCTGTGTTTAGCTTCATCTTTAATTTTCAACATCTCGTAAGTGTTGGCTGAGTACAAGTCGTTTACAGTATATGTATGATTAGTCCAATATTTTTTTATTAACATGAAAAACCAATCAACCAACAAAGGGGAAATAAAGGCGAAAATGCGCTGGAAGATGAGAAATAAAGAAGAAACTCGCCAAAACGTCTGCTTTTTCGCCTAAATATACGCCGAATTGTGTGATTAACCACACAACAGGCTTACTTAAGTATACACAATAACAACAGATCATTATTTGCTGCTTTCTTGTCTAGCTACTATGAGGTCTACAAACTGATTTCAATAACCGAAGAGCGGATATTACCATTAAGTTCAAAAAAAAGAACCAATAACATATAGCTATATGTTAATTGTTCTTTCTGGAAGCGAATGTCTGTTCTAAATTAACTAATAAGCAAAAATGAAGCCATTGAATAGTAACATGACGGATCGTTATTTTTGAAAAGTTTAAAAAGATTTTAGTGGTTTAAACCACAGAAAGTACTTTCTGTATAAACGAATTCGCCTAGACGGAATTTAAATTTGTCTATCCAGAAAGTACTTTTTGTAATAAAGAAGAATACGGGGTAGCTTGAGTAATGAAGGCTTGAACAATTCGAGATAGTACAGTTTCTTGGACGCGATGATAATAGTCATTTGGCACACTAAAACAAGTCTACTGAACTTACGAGAAATTAAATTGAGCCGCTTAATCAGTCCCCGCATTTTTTTAAAATTTTGTTCATCTGTCATAGTCCTAGTTGACAACCTCTCAATCTTGGCTTCCCTGGGAAAAAGCGATCACGCCGTTATAGCTTTCAGTTTCGTCAGCAGAACTGTGCTAAGATATCCCACCAACAACTTGCGCTGGAATTTCAAACGGTTGAATGTGTCAGCTCTACAGGACTATCTACAACAGGTGGATTGGGATATTCACCCTCAACTCGATGTGGATGCTCATTGGGACTCCTTACAGCACACGCTCATATGTGCTACAAATCATTCAGTTCCTCAAACGGCCCTCCATAGCTATCAGCAACCCACAATCATCAGAAACCGCCCTCTTTGCCTGCTAGGCCGCAAAAGGCACTGTTGGGCAGAGTAAAAACGAACTGACAACAACGGAGCGTACAGGCAATACAATCATATAAGGAACATATGCACAAAGGCTATAAGAGATGACAGGCTTCAGTACCAGACAAAGCTTATGGACAAATTTGTCTCTAATCCGAAAAGCTTATTCCGTTGCGCAGCCTTTCTTCGTCAAGCCAAAACTGGAGTTTCCCAACTTCTAGGTCTTAA